AGCCACCGGGCATGGAAAATGCCATGGTGTAAATGATGATCTGCTCGTTCCCAGACCTGAAAGCAGCGGAAAGCGCAAGGCGGAACTCCGAGGAGATTTTCCCAGGTTTTTTCCTCAGCTTCACCAGTGTTTCCTGATCTTTCCCACTTTTTCTTGGCCTGGTTATGACTAACAGTTCGCCATGGAAAGATCCACCCATTTCTAATAGGTAAACCATCTATTTCTATGGGCCATTTCCATGGCTATGTTAAATAACCAGAGGGTGGCTACACCATGAAATCACCGTTGTTTGGGTCATGACCACACTTTTCAACTTTTCATTGAACTCAGCTTGCTGATTCGTGACACTTAGGTCACATCTGAATCCTGGCCTCATCAAAGAGCTGCAAGGCCCATGTAGAGGCGGCCCTAAGGTGGGAATGGTAGATATTTTCCATGCGATTTAGGTAGTGAATGGGATCAATTGATATCATGAACGGTAGTCCTCCGATAGTCAATTGATAGTTGATGAGGGTATTTGGCAATGAATGACATGGTGGGTCCCTTGGTTAGCAATAGTTGATGGGGATTATGGTTGGCAGAAAGCTGGCAAGGCCCAAAGGTTTGCTCACTTTGTACCTAGGCGAACGGCTAACCAGGTTTAAGGTGGCTATATCCACAGATGAAATTCTACACCAACATATAACTCGGGGGGCCCACATCGTAGGTACTCCACAAAAAACCATTTACCAGGGATTAACCAGACAACAGCCTGCCTGTCAAGGTCTGTGTTAGCTGGAAGGTAATGTTTAGCAGCATCTCATCACGGAACCAACGATGATTTCATAACTTGGGATCCTTCTGAGAATAACGATGTTTTTGTGGGAATACAACAATGATGTCCCTATAGGAAAGAAAACTTACAAGCTTTCCAGCTCCAAACATACCCGAGAAAAACACATTCACAACTTCTGGATAATCTAAGCATCCAACTTATAGTTAACCGGGTTGTTTGAATAGGGTAGCCTTAAATCCCGGTTCATTTTACCAGGATCCGGGACCATGAAAATTGTTGGTCGTAGATGTTTCATGACCATCTTCCTAAGATCAAGTAATGCGGTTAAAAAAAAGGTTAAAACAATAATAAACTACCTATATGGGAATGGCTTATACCACCTATTTATGGTAATTTGGGGGATGGTTTATTATTGTTTTAACCACATTAATGACATATTATAACAAACCATAAACATACAAATGCTAGTCCGGCATTGATACACTCCCCATCTTCTCCAAGATCATCATTTCTAGTTATTTGTTTTTAATGGGGACCTTTATCTTAACTGCGAGGTTTGCTGAGTCCAATGTTGAGAAAAACATGGTTTGCCCCCAAACCAGGCACACCCAAAAATCACAGTCTTGACCATTCGTTAACGGGCATCCCCCATATTCTGAAAGACAAAATCAGATATCAGATCGTTGATCACATATCATATCATTATATGTCGGTGTATCCCATAATCCCAAATTACAATTGCACTCCAGTAAATTAACATAGACCCTGCCAGATAGGGGTTGGAAGACTAGTTTCCCACTAAGAGTGGGTTATTTTCAGGGTCCAACTGTTACCAGAGGATAATCCCAAAATCCAGAAATGGTGAATTCTCCATTTTTGTTGGACATCGTTATCCTCCCTGGCTGGGCCATTCCCAATATATCCGCTTTCTGTTCACACCAAAATAGCGATTCATCCCACCCTACAGCCAAGTGGCCCAAGTACAGAATAACCATCATTAAACCCCCAAAACCATCGTTAATATGGTTCAATATGGTTTAATGGGGGTTTCATGGGGGTTTCATGGGGGTTTAATATGAAACTCCCATTCTTCATGGCCAGCCAGCTTTGAACAGCCCAGCGTCCGAACGAACATGACTCCTGTGTTGATCTCACCTTGGGATGAAATCAATGGGTTATCATTTCACGGTGACAGTAACCTGTAAAAACATTACCCTCTGGTAATGACTAACAGTTCGCCATGGAAAGATCCACCATTTTATAGCTGGGAAAACTCACTATTTCGACTGGGCCATTTTCAATAGCTATGTTAGTTTACCAGAGGGTATGGTACTGTAAATCATTCGGTGTGGTTTCTACAAAAAAACAATCATCATGTAAAAACATTCGGTTTTCAAGTTTCAATGGGTTTCAATGGGCTTAAAGAAAAATAGGAAAGTCAAATCCGAACATAGTGGCTTTCGTTTCCGCTTTTCGGCATCTTTGGACAGGGCTGGGGATACAATACATACATATCATACACATATATCATACACATCTGAAGGTTTTTTATTGTGACTTTCATCATCAAGACATGGTCAAAACCAATTTCCTTTTGGTCCAAATAGGTTTGGGCCGGTTTGGTATACCATCTATCATCAAACAAACCTGTTGTTAAAGGGGTAAACGTTCAAAGCCCTCTATTTTCATCAACCAACCAATGGGAAAAAGACATCGACATGGGGATGGCTTTGGCCAAACATGGGGATGGGACAGTGTATGGCCATCAATGGGCAGCACCATAAAGAATCGGATTTAGAGTAATTAGCCGACAAAGCCACCTCCAATCCATCTGCCCCATCTCCTATCTAATCTTAGCTGATCTCATCTGATCTTGCTGCCGCCAAAATTAGATTAAAGAACACAGAATTAGAATGCGATATTAAAAAAACAATATATCTCGTAACAGTTTCTTCAAATCCCCAATCTTGTTGACAAAACCTCTGGTCTTGTTGATTAGGTTAGGCCCGCCAGCTTTTGTGGCTTAAGTCACTTAAGTCTCATTCACAGCATGCAAAACAAGCCTCTCTGGCTGCCTACATTCATATAAGCCATCTATTTGAACAGATATCTAACTTCAAGCTACCCTTCACCAATCTTGCGGCATCTTGCGTCGCTGTAAGCACAGGGGATGAGATGCTCCCAGGGCAAACTCGCGACCTTCACCAGAATTTATCAGATCACGCTCGAAGCCGTCTTAGCCGGGTAGCCAGCAAGTGAGCAATATCCTTTCGGCCCGCCGCGCCCATGTAACCCATCGCCATTGTGCTCATATTATCAAATCAAGCGTGCAGCGATTTGGTCAGATAGGCTGGTCGCTGCCGTAAGGGTCAGCTTCTTCGGCACAAGTTCTTGTGGCTTAACTCTCATTTGTTGGTCAATCTTAGATACTGCAAAACAAGACTCTTTGGCTGCTTAAACAATATATAATCTGATCGCCATTTGATAAGCATATCCAGCATCCCGTCATCGGTTTACTCAGATTTCTGGTGATGAACCCCGTTCCTTTCATGCTCAAACCAAATTTTTTGCTGCTTCATCAACAATTTCTGTGGGCCAAACCCAACAAACCCTTCATCTGTCACCACCATTTCTGCTGGTTTTCTAGCTTCGGTTCATCGGACTATTTCCCAATCGGTTAATCTAGTCAGCAACCTTCTGTCCTTAATTGCCAAACCATTCTTGTTGCTTTGACCCCCAATAGTTCTGCGGTTCACATCATTTCTGTTTGTTCAAACATGTTAAAACCAGATGTTTCGAACATGTTAAATACACCATATAAAAAACCATGTTGAAACCACATGTGTCAAGGTCAAACTACACTAATATGTTCCATGCCAAAGAATCTATCCAGCATTTCTGCTGCTGAAATCCCACATTGAAAAAAATCCGGCCCAGGTGCTCGCGCACGACATGTCTTCGGCCAGAATCCTGGATGCTCCGTAGGTCCCGGAAACCATGGGATGTTTTGATGGGGGGGTTCCATGGTTAATAACGGCTAATCACGGTTAATAATGGTTAATATATGGTTAATATATATATATATATATGGTTGGTGGTAAAACAAGCCCTCTGAAAAATGATGGAGTTTTAGTAACAGTTGGGATGATTATTCCAATTTCCAACTGAATGGAAAGTCATAAAACTGTTCCAAACCACCAACCAGCTATGAATCTATGACTATGAAGAAATGGGGATTTCCAATGACTAACCATCAATACATGATGAATTGAGAAGAAAAAACGTTGAACATGGCATTCCCCACCACGTGGATCTTCAAGGCTCGAAGCAAACAATTGCGGGGAACATCAGCAAAATGGACATTTGCAGCGCTGAAATCTAGCATTGGAATGCATGGAATGCATACTGTTTCCCACAGGAACATCATTTTCCCAAGGCATTTTCGGTGTGACATTTTTTGGGCTCAAAGGCAAGTTGTGAGGACCCGAAAGCAAGTCAGGACGTCTAGGCTAAGAACGGGTCCTCTAACTCAAACGAACATACCTTGGATGATCTAAGCCATGACATGAAGTTGGCACCAAAATTTAGGGGTGCCAACCATCAACACCTATTATGTTTGGGGTGTATTGAAAACCCAGATGGATATTGTGAGTTGGAAAGGGTGTATGAAATGGTACACGCATTCAGAGGGATTAATGGTCTTGATTGTCATCGTTCTTCCCATTGATTTTGCAATCACATGATGTTCAAACAGCAAATATCATACTGTTGAGTATATACCCCATTATATCATATCCCCATAGGATAGTTGGTTCTATACCTATATGGAGGTTTCCTAAAATGGGGGTACCCCAAGCCACCACGGGTTTCAATACTATAGTTTAGTCTAATTACTTGGATGATGGGGTACCCCCATGACTTTGGAAAGCTCCATGTAGTTGTAGCATGTTATAGCTATGCTAACATATGCAACTATCATCCCACTCATCACTATAAACACCATTAATCCCATGAAGACCCATTCATCAATAGTGAACACTATCCCAATGCTTTTTTTTATCTCCCCCCAAAAAATCCCCAAGATTTCCTTAACTTTGGCCCAAGTCTCAGATCGAAGTTGCTCTCAACGAAGTCCTCCAAGGGTTTGTGGAAGTTCAGCAAAATGGCATCGGCATCCAGCCACACAAGCCACCTGGCGGCCGAATGGAACGCCGCGGCCTGGTGATCTAGGGGATGTTTCACAAAAATTTAGCTATGAACAATTTCAAAACTACAGATTTGGCCAGAAAGTGTTGATAACCCATAACAGTGATGGATTTAAAGAAGACGTGTGACCTCAGTAGCAAAACTTGTCGCCATCTAGCCAGCTTTCATGGTTTTTGTTGGGACTTAGCCTTGCAACGGGACAAGTGAGCCGTTGGAAAGTTCCTGCGCAACTCCTCGATGTCCTGTGATGTCCGGTGATGTTTTTTTTTGTTGGCTTGCGAGACCACATATTACAATCACTACCCGCACACAAGATTCACTGAATATCTCCGATACGTGGTTGAAACATGTTGAAACCACCCCATGTCATTTACGAAACCACAAGAACTGCTTTATCAAGCATGAAACGGCCCAGCTCAGGTTTACCAAATTGTTTAAAAGTTACATCCCCAATTCTATCCATGTTATCCATGTTATGGGTTATCCAAACGCCAGGATTTGCGTTCAGACTCGGCCTTGGCAAGTCGGAACTCCCTTCTCGCATCAACCGGCGCAGCAATGCTATCTGCCAGGTGGATTCAAACCATCAAGGATGGTGTGATTTGACGGCAGGTTTCAACAGCAAATGTCGAATTGAGAAAACATGGGGTACAGTTGTAACAGTTTAAACTGCGACAACTAAATCGGGATTTCATCTGGAGAAATGGTTTTGTTGTGCACAGGACTTGGGTCTTCACACTCAAAGTTGAAGACCCACATAAATGATTTCACCGGGTTGATGATTATCAAACATGGGGACTTGCAGTGACTATGTGAAATGCGTTACAGGATGTTACGGGTGATATTTGTTCTATAATGAAGTGGTATTTTTGGGGATCAAACATGTCATATCTCAAAACATAAAACAAATTTGCATTTGCTGAGGGACAACACAATTTGAATGATGCAAGCAAATGTGGCTCTTGACTGTTGGCCAGTGGACCTGAGTGTTTTTGCACAAAACATTATGGTACAATGTTGATATGGCGGGTTGCAAAAAGGAGAACACCAAATCGTTTTGATATACAAACGGGGTAACCCAATTTTGACAAACGGAGTGGGTTGGAACCTTCGCGCTCCTGTTGTTTCCGGGTCCAACCCACTAATTCTCGAACATTAAACGACTTTTTCCCAAGTTCTGTAGAAAAATCCCAGATTTCCATGAATTTCCCATGGTTTTTCCTAGTTTTTCCTGGTTTTTCCTAGTTTTTCCTGGTTTTTCCCATGGTTTTTCCTGGGTTTTTATGGCCACCAACGGCCATTTTCTCCACCGGTTTCTCCACCGAAAGAATCTCCGTTGCCTTGGCCCACTGCGGTGCGCGCATGTCGCAGAGCTGCCGAAAGTCGCCGGGAGGCAGAATCCAAGAGCGCTGCCTCCCAGGACTTGTCACTGGGGGAAAAAAAAGGGGGATCCATTAAAGACCCTAAATAGTACGGGGATCTATAAAAATTATCAAATATGGGGATCTATAAATATGGGGGATCTATAAATTATATGATGATCATTAAAAATCCCCCATTTATAGATTAATATAGGGATGATGATCATTATAGGGATCTATAAATCATTTAATAGATGGTTATAGACATAAATTATGGTAAACCATCTATTATCATTATAATGACATTAAATTGTTAATAGATGGTTTACCATGATGATAAATTATAAATATCTATTAACATCCATTTGGGAATTATAGACATAGATTATATTATGGGAATATCTATTTAGGATTGTATTTAATAGATGGTTATAGACATAAATTATGGCAAACCATCTATTATCATTACCATGACATTAAATAGTTCATAGATGGTTTACAATGATGATAAATTATAAATATCTATTAACATCCATTTGGGAATTATAGACATAGATCATATTATGGGAATATCTATTTAGGATTATATTTAATACATGGTTATAGACATAAATTATGGTAAACCATCTATTATCATTATAATGACATTATATAGTTAATAGATGGTTTATCATGAGGATAAATTATAAATATCTATTAACATCCATTTGGGAATTATAGACGACATAGATTATATAATGGGAATATCTATTTAGGATTTTATTTAATAGATGGTTATAGACATAAATTATGGTAAACCATCTATTATCATTACCATGACATTAAATAGTTAATAGATGGTTTACCATGATGATAAATTATAAATATCTATTAACATCCATTTGGGAATTATAGACGACATAGATTATATAATGGGAATATCTATTTAGGATTTTATTTAATAGATGGTTATAGACATAAATTATGGTAAACCATCTATTATCATTACCATGACATTAAATAGTTAATAGATGGTTTACCATGATGATAAATTATAAATATCTATTAACATCCATTTGGGAATTATAGAGCCCATCACATTGATTACATACCATGTTTGCATCTAATTTACCCTCTGGTAAAACTGTTTATACAAACTATGTGAAAGACCCATTGTTTAATGGGTACATAAATCAACTATGATTATTCCCATATGGAAAAATCAAAACATGTTTTCCAAAAACCACCAACCAGATAAATTTGGTTAAGCATATTCATTAAAGAAGCCTGGCTACTCCCCAACAGGGCCTGAAAATGCTATCCGTTCAAAAAAATAAAAAACGCATCAGAAAACATCAAGGATTCAAAACAAACATTCAAAAAAAACAATCCAACAAATAAACAAAAATCAAAATCTTAAAAACAACTGACCATGTTTTTGAATTTAACTGATTGTTGACCATGGCACAGAATCTATCAAAAATAACGTTCAACATAATTGATTGATTTTGACAAATAAACAAAATCATCTTTCCATGTTTTGCACAATTCACCACCATCCTCTCCACCCACCATCTCCTTTTCCTCCACCCACCTGTAGCCATACTTCTGCGCGTAGCCCTCCTGCTGGCGCAGCAGAGAAGCCGCAGTCGTAGTCTTCGTCGAAGGCGGTGACCAGAGAAAAGTCCGCCAATGGCAACCATGGGATGGTGGGTTAGGTGGATTTCTTGGAAAACTAGGATTTTTTTAAATGGGAAAATATTGGTTGAAATGGGCTATCACGGGAATATGATAATAAGTGGGAAAACCAATGGGATATAGGAACTATCAACAATGGGAAACACACAACGAATTGTATGGTATGTCTGAATCTATGGGGCATTTTTAAGGGGAATGCAATGGGATTGTCATGGGAATATTTCATTGGAATAGATATACTGTAACTTTTGTTTGGGATATAACCATATATAACAGTCACTTATAACCATATTGGAATAAGGTATACCATATAATAGGATTATAGGGACTGATGTTGTGATTTGATGGTAAGGTAATAACCCAACACTGGGGATGTTGGTGACTCAATGAGGATATAATGATGATCTTATCGGGGTGGGGGTGTCAACAAGATGCGCGATTTATCACCGAGCCATGGGACCATGGATCCCAATGGAGGCCATGGGCCCGAAGAGTGGAGAAACATTGATTCACATAACATGCATGAGTATACATGAAAAGAATCTAACAGTTGTGGCTTGAATTGCAATTATATATATATATATTACTATAGCACTGATTAGCCCCCATAAGAATACTTGGTGATATTTAGGCAAGAGTTCCAAATTCCATGTGATCCTCCAAGAAGGGAGCCATATTCATATTCCTTTAAATTTTTTTCAACTCGAAATCTAACTACTCAAGAACCGGACCCGCTGTTTCAATTCTGGTGCTTGGAGCCTTGCAGGCATGACTCGGGATGACCCAGTTTGTTGGTCGACCCTGATACCTCCCCAAGTTACCCCCCGAATCTTCGTCGGATGTCGGAATGTCATGGCCGATCTTAGCCAGATTGGAACTCAATTCTTAGCTATTCACCACCGCAAAGATTCGGAAATGTTTGGGGTGCAATTAGTACTCTTGATCATCTTCAATCATAGAAGTTTTGGAGCTTGGCAAATGTTCCCATCAAAATGGCCAAATATTTCACCATATCCCCCACCTGTACCGTTTACAACTTCGCCCACCCTTTTGGCTCTCAGGAAATCCAATTTCACCCTGAACGAAAACACCTAAATGGATGCATCACATATTATGTATATATATATACACATACATATGTATGTATGTATGTATGTATGTATGTATGTATTAGTATGTATTATTATCAAATCATATCAATTTCGCCATTCAAACTTAGGTCAAAAAACAAATCCTCACAAAACTCATCTCGTTCACTTCTAGTCCTACCTTTTTCGTTGTTTTTTTTTTTTTTCGGCTGACGCGTGTACTTTTCGGTAGACCGGGGTGGATTCACCGTGATCGAACTACCAAGTTTGGATGCGCCCCACCGCGTTCGAAAGTATATGGGAAGTGTAAAAAGAAAGTATAATATATATATATAATGCTATATATGGTGCAAGCGTGGCCACCCCCCCTCCCCCCCCCCCACCATGGTATGGGTGACAAGTATCGTCTGGTTCTTCTGGTCCCCCCCCCCCCCTGTGGCCTGTGGTGTGTATGGTTCTTCTGGTCCCCCCCCCCCTGTGGCTTGTGGTGGGTGGTATGGTTCTTCTGGTCCCCCCCCTTGGCTGTGGTGGTGGTATGTTGGTTTATGTTGTATGTTGGTATGGTTGGTATGTTGGTATGTTGGTATGTTGGTATGTTGGTATGTTTGGGATGTATTATGTATTGTTGTATGTATGTATGAATGTAAGGTAAGGTAATGGTAATGTTAATGTAACGTATACTGTAATGTAAGTAATGTAATTTAATTTATGTATGTATGTAACGTGTGTAGGTGTGGGTATGTGATGTAGTATATACACCCCCGACCAGGGGCCTCACTCCCCCCCCCCCCCCTCCCATGAGGGGGGGGTGGGCACACGGGACCACGGGACCCTATCTATCTCTCCCCTGCCTCATGTGGCTACAATTGTCATGTTTTATATGATGAATATAATTCTGGTGGATAGAAGTGTGCAGTGATCTCGACCATCTAATAGAAACATCTATAGTATGATGTGTTTGACATAGGGTGGAATGTCATGGTGATATGAGTGAGCATCTGAAGTATCAAACCCTTGGGATTTACATGGTCATTTTCACGGAGATGGTGATGCATCATGTGGGAATTTGGGAGAAGCATCATTTTCTTCGGAGAACCTACATGCTCAATAAGATAAATATATAAAGGCTATGCTGAAATCAAACATGGTCATCAGAAATTTGATGATTTAGATGTCAAGAACCTACTGCAGGTCATAGTCATCAACTGCTGTAATCCATCCATTTGAAATTGTGTAATCCTCAACTGCAGAAACAAACAGGAAACCCATGACCGGGCCGCTGGGCTCCATCAGCTGCACCATCCCCAGTCAGAACCATCTATTGGTGGTATAAACTGACCATTCCCAGGAAAATGGGTGGTGGAAAAAGCATTGTTTTACCCACATTACCAGTCAAACCATAGAAAATACAATTCATGACATAATTATCCAGGAAATATCATAAGTAACATCATTATCTTTGGAAATACGATTTTCTATTTTTCTATTCAATCCCAGATTAACCATTGAAATCCCATTGACTGTAGATACTGGTTTCAATGGTTAATCATTGATTTATAGTAATCATTTCCATTGACTATAGATACTTTCCATTCGTCATGTTGCCAGAAAGTCCATGCCCAGATCCAATAGATCCAATGGACTTCGAAGAAGGCCGAAGGCCGATTTTGATCAAATTCAGCATAGATTCGTTATTTGTATCATTAAACCAGTTGTATTATATATGTATCTAAGATATCTATTATATATTAGATATAAGTAATCTATATTCATCTATAACATTTGTCACTTTTCGCCATGGTTCATGATGAAAATCCATGACGAACGGCATCTGGGAACTGCATCCGCGAAAGAACGCTGACCGTCCAGACGACGGCCAGCGACATGGGCCATGGTGAGACTAAAAAGACACGATCCCAAAGATCAATATACATATTTATAACTATTTATATACATATTTCATATATCTGGGCAAATGCCATCATAATTCACTAACCTGAATAGTTCGGCCATTTGGGGATGATTTCCCTTATTAACCATGATTCCAGTGAGGTCGCAGTCAGGTCGCAGTGAGGTCGTTATAATATAGTATATATATATATAACAATCCTGGAGTAGATAGAATCCAGTTTCGTAGGGGGCGTTTTTTTTTTTGAAAAAACCCAGGGTTTTTTGACCCAATACTAAACTATATATTCGGACCCCCTAGATAGAATATTCCAAAATCTACTCCAGGATGCTCAAAATGTGTTTTTTTTTCCTTTCCTTTTCAAAACCTTCCAATTTATTTTTTTCTTTCAAATTTTCCTTTTCAAACAGCTGCAAAAAATGAACTTTGGATGGTAAGATCGTAGACGTAGATTCCTACTTTTTTCATTTCCTTTTCCTTTCACACTTTTCCCTTCAAAAATCTGTAATTGTGAACTTTGGATGGTAAGATCGTGGATTCCAGCTTTTCTCATGCCATGTTCCTTTCAAAGTTTGATTCCTGCTTTTCTCATGTCCTTTTCCTGTCACAGTTTTCCATTCAAAAACCTTCAATTATGAACTTTGGACGGTAAGATCGTGCATTCCAATTTGTTTCCTTCCATTTTCCTTCCAAGTTTCCTTTTCAAACAGCTGCGAGAATGAACTTTGGATGGTAAGATCAGCTATTCCTACTTTTCTCATGCACTCTTCCTTTCAAACACAGTTTTCCATTCAAAAACCTTCAATTATGAACTTTGGATGCTCGATCTTGGATTCCTACTTTTCTATACTTTTCTCATCTCCTTTTCCTTTCGCAGCTTTCTTTTCAAAAACATGCAAGACTGAACTTTGAATGGTAAGATCGTGGATTCCCTCTTTTCTCATCCCATTTTCCTTTCGTTGCTTCTTTTCAAAAACCTGCAATTTCAACTTTGGATGGTAAGATCTTGGATTCCTACTTTTTAGATGTCATTTTCCTTTTAAAGCTTGCTTTCAAACAGCTCCAAGAATGAACTTTGGATGGGTAGATGTGGAGGAAGGGGCAGGGAGCACCACAAATACATGCTTAATCTTAATCCCAAACATCCTTTAAAAAATCAGACTTTTCATGGTTCTAGAGGATATTCTATCTATAGTTTTGCCCAACTGTCCTAGCACAGTACTAGCACAAAATGAACTTTGGATGGTCGATCTTGGATTCCTACTTTTCTATACTTTTCTCATCTCCTTTTCCTTTCACGGCTTTCTATTCAAAAGCCTGCAAGACTGAACTTTGAATGGTAAGATCGTGGATTCCTTCTTTTCTCATCCCATTTTCTTTTTGTTGCTTCTTTTCAAAAACCTGCAATTTCAACTTTGGATGGTAAGATCTTGGATTCCTACTTTTTAGATGCCATTTTCCTTTTAAAGTTTGCTTTCAAACAGCTCCAAGAATGAACTTTGGATGGGTAGATGTGGAGGAAGGGGCAGGGAGCACCACAAATACATGAAATACATGCTTAATCCCAAACATCCTTAAAAAATTCAGTCTTTTCATGGTTCTAGAGGATATTCTATCTATAGTTTTGCCCAACTGTCCTAGCACAGTACTAGCACAAATGAACTTTGGATGGTCGATCTTGGATTCCTACTTTTCTGTACTTTTCTCATCTCCTTTTCCTTTAGAGCTTTCTATTCAAAAACCTGCAAGACTGAACTTTGAATGGTAAGATCGTGGATTTCTTCTTTTCTCATCCCATTTTCCTTTTGTTGCTTCTTTTCAAAAACCTGCAATTTCAACTTTGGATGGTAAGATCCTGGATTCCTACTTTTTAGATGCCATTTTCCTTTTAAAGTGTGCTTTCAAACAGCTCCAAGAATGAACTTTGGATGGGTAGATGTGGAGGAAGGGGCAGGGAACAC